GTGCCAGTTGTGTAATTACTCAAGAAGGCGACAAATGTACGGAGGAAATCACACAAGAGTCACTATATTGTGATGTAAAAACGAAAGTGAGAATCAAAATTCCATTTTAAAAAGGTGGTCGCGCCAATGACGAACACGAAATGGCACAGACTTGGGGTGATATGAAAATCGATGTGGACGACCTTCTTGAGAATATTTGACCTGCGCTTTCGAAAATGTTCCAATGGCTGATCAAGGGCGACCTGTGAGCAGCACAAACCTCCAAAGGCTATAATACCTTCACTACTGAGACCAACATTATTCTTTTTTGATTGTTATGAGAATGAGCATCTTAGTCTGAACTTCCGGGAGGGGGAGGCATTTTCCAGGCCTGATTTAGGAGCTACGATGAACCGGGAGCGCAGCTGCCTTTGTCCTGCGTGAGGTAGAATGACAGTTGCTTCAAATGGATATATCCCGCGAGAACCCATTCTGCTTCTTGTTCCAATGGAGTTTGCAGCCACGCCCTCCCCATCTCAGGGATGTGGAGTGTACCCCATCATTTCTACAGCACTCCTTATGGAGACTACCGTAACCGCCACAACGTATCAGTTAATCAAAAACATTTTTAGCAAGACCGACTTGCATGAAAATGCATTTCTCATCTGCAATCTGCTCAAAAATCGGATAGAACGTAAGATCTGCGGCACTGGTCAGTACTTCATCGATGGTAAATGTCGAAACGGTCATGTTCGCTACAAACGGCAGGGCATAGCCGGCTCAGGACGAGTCGGCGATTTCTGCTCGTTCAACACCGATTGTCTCACGGTAAGTTTTTGCACTTGTTGAAAACCTACATGTTTTGGGAAAAAGCACCCACACATAGTGGCGATAATTATCAGAGATTTTTCATTTGGTCCACATTGCCCATCAGTTGAGTCCTTACTTCCAACTGAACTAGATTGAACCAACCTCGAGACATGCGGTATAAACCATGGGTAGTGCTCAGCTTTTTCTGCCATGCCATGTCATACCGTTGATTTGCTCGCCCTGGACAGCTCCTATCGGAGTTGAGGCAGAGTTTTCAGCTCCAATGTGAGCAAGTCGACACCATACCGCCTGTAAGGGGAGATTCACCACTAAGACATGATCAGAGAAATATTCAGCGTTGGGGATTCGTTGGAAATTATTGAAAATTGAAGCGGAATGTTCTTTGAGCGAATAATTTTCTTACAACGTAAATACATTGCAAATACAAGAGCAACTTCAAAATCAAAAACTGCACAAACTGTTTCTGAGATTTCCGTGGTCCATCAGATAAATGCTTGTGAACCTTTCGGAGAAAACTCCGAGCTGCGCAAAGAAACCCGTTTTCCGTCAACCTTAATTAGGCGTATTTGAATCTCCAAGAAAGCATGTAAAACGGATTTTTTCGTGGAGTAGCAATGGCTGGTTCAGCCCCCCAGTAGCTTCATTTCTGGATGCTGCATGCATTAGGCTTCCACCCTGAGGTAGTGGATGGTGCAACTTCTGCCGGTCTACGCGAGCAGCTCTGTTTATGGGATTCAGGAAA